TGAGAGTGTAGAAATTGAATGAATGTAGTTTGGTAGTAAGTGAGTGTTTACATAATGTAATGTTTTTCCTACTGCCCTTGACGTGTTGATTTTCGGTATTCGTGGTCTTTGTGTGGGATCTGTACCTGTATATTTAGTGAGTGTTTCCTGAAATATAAGTAATAGTGTATTAACTAAATGTATGTCTATGTTATCAGTGATGGATGAGGAAGTGCCTGCAGTATCATCAGTGGTAGTTGTTTTATGTGTGTTATTATCAATGCTTGTTGCTGGATTATCCTGACAGGTTACATGATCTTCATTAATGTTAAGTGTTTCTATCTGTTGATGTATTTGATCAGCAAGTTGTTTGATAAGTTCAAGTGTTGTTTGTGGGATAATGTTGTTGTACATAATTGTTCTTTTTTGATCAACAACTCTTTGTTTGGTGACAGTGTGGTGAAGATATTATTGTGTGAATCTATGGTGTAGTTGTTGTCTGTATGCTGTCATGTTTGTTTCGAGTTTCATGATGGTGTAGTAAGTACGGATGATAAACTCGTTCATTTCTGTTGTCCATTTCATCTGTTGGTGTGGTTTTCCAGCCTTTGTGGATGCATTGCCACAGAAACACCAAGGCTAGGTTGGTTCCTCACATCTGTTGAGGGCATTGCAGTAGCCATGCTTGGGTTGGCACTGCTTTTGCCACTGTTAACCAAGGGAGACTGTGGCCTATTTTTTAAACATGAGCCTCTGCCTAACCCACGAACGCAGACCTTGTTAACCCAGGTGACATCTGAGCTGGTATCATACTTTGATCTGGTTACTACGATTATGAATAACTCCACAGAATGTGGGTGTGGTCACCATTAGCTTCATTTCTCCCAATAGACATTACTGGCATGGTGTCCCTATCAGGAGCTTGTGCTCCAGCCTGCATTGCCCTATGGATCAGTAAAACTACTGGGCTCTCCCACCACGACCAGGTGGTGACCGTGGGAGAGATATTATTATTATTATGTTAGGTTTAGTGGGTTATACTCGGTTCACACCGATGGCTGTGTACTATGCCAGACCAGAGTCAAGGCATAGCAACCAAAACAAAACTAAGATTAAATAAGTATATCAGTGTCTGTATTCAAGAATTTCCTAATAATATGGCATGTATTCAATATAGTGGCCTTCTGTAGTGTGATGTATGTATTTCTCTTCAATTGTAATGCTCCCAGGCTTTTGTGTAGTGTGTGTGGTATCACACCCGTACAATAGAAAACGACAGGTGCAGGTACAATAAGCACCCTTTCCATCCTCCACAGATGCCTTATTTCCTGGGCAAGTTCTGTGTACTTACTGATTTTTTTAGTGCACGTGTTTTGTACAGTAAATGTTATTTTTATTTAAAAGTATATATTCTAACTATTCTAAATTAAAACAACATTTCTGATTTAGTACTAAATAAAATAAAATTCTTACTGTTTTACATGATATAACATCACAAGTAATTTCCATAATAGACTGCATTTTTTCTTCCATTTGTTCTTTCTTTTCCAAAACATTAAAATATTTATCTTGATTTTCTAAATCTTCCTGTTTTTAAACATTTCATAACAATTTTAAAATGATTTTTAAGTTTATTCATTGCAGAAAAAAAGTTACAAAATTATAACTTACCATTTCTACTTCGTGAGCATGCGATGACTTTCGATTAATAATTTCTTGAATTTTATTGGAGTTTAAATCAATGTTGTTCAGGCGACTTCTTTTAACTTCAGAATTTAAATTTTCTTTCAAATCTAATTATAATAAAAATGTTTCTATATTTAAATATAGACAGAAATCATGCAATAACTCTCATTAAAGAATACTGAGTAGCATACAACACTTATATCAACAAAAGTTTTTAGCAAATATAAAAAAATTAATTATATCCAAATTTATTTAATTAATTACTATACACATGCTATCTCTATATGTAAAAAGATCTTTTAAATGCCAATGAGAGTTAAATTTTCATTAACTCAAACACCACTGAAGATGCGACAAATAATCCCCTCTATCTCCCCCACCCCCTTGAATTCCATACACCAAAATTTAATAGCATCAATGCCCCTTATATAAAGTTAGCATGCCAAATTTTGTTCCTTAACCTTTACCCCCATCCTGAGATATTAAACAAAATAGATGCCAACACACACATGCAGAATTTTTTCTTTTTACTTCTTTGGGTTCAGGAGGCCTCAAAACACCAAGATTTGCAAAAGAACTGGAGACCAAATACTTTACATAACAGCCGGGAAAGTAAATGTATCGAGTAACAAAAAGGATCTTGTTTTGAACAATTTTTGCAATGTTCGTAAGTAACAAAGTAATTGAAAAAAGAAAAAATAGTTTTTGGAATGATTAACCAACTTTTAAGATACTCCACATTTGCTTCAAATATCATTAATGATATGCATTTGTGTTGTATCTAAATCATAATTGTAAAAACAAAATTCTTCTTATGTTATTATATAATTAAAAATAATTTTGTATAATGTTTTTTAAAATAATTAGTGATGTAATGAATATTCAGTTACTATTCGGTATTCAGCCAAATACCGAATACCTAAAAACAGGAGTAAGAAATAACAAAAACACAGTAAATTAATCATTTTGATATTTAGATATAATGTTTTCGAGTTAGTGTTGTTTGTTTATATTTATTTATAACTTATAACATGCACAAAATAAAAAAAAACATAATATTACTCACTTGTATTCACAATTTATAATTACAAAGATCAGCACACGTACACACCTATTCGTTCGAGAATCGTTGCACATCTGAGGGTCTGACCCTGCCTATCCTTCTTTTTAAGTGCTCGTCTTTGCTCTTTCCTTTCTCTTTCCTCTATCGCTCTAGTCCACGTATGCCTATGCATACATCATAATACACCCTAATGATACTTTCGATTCATCACTTTTCTGTCGTAGATTTCCCATTTTACAATTACGTGACTCATAGCCTGGTGATAATGGAGAAAAGAGACAGATGGTACATCGTTATAAGTCACAATTATAATTTCACAGATTCGAAACAGCTTGGTAGCCTGAACAACCCGAGGCTTTCACCCATGCATGCTAAGTGATTTTCATTACAAGCATTTAGCTTTCCGAAGTCTATCACAACAATTGTTTGGCATTCACGGCTGCGAATTTCGTGACAATAAGCTGCTCGACTTGTTTGAGGCAGCTTATTGAGTTGATAACATAATTGACTTGTTCGATCATGTTATCAACTCAATTTCATATTTATTTTCACATTTTCACTTTGCGGTCCTTCTCTGTTCTTCTTCCATTATTTACACATGTAGGTCATCACTTATCACATACTACCATGACGCTCTTGTCTGAACTGTCAAGAATTAATGCGATTGGCAAAGCATAGTGACAGTGGGCCAATAGAGAGCAGGGTCCTTGCCATAATGTGGTTTGCGTGCCAATTTTCATACAGGCTTTAATCAAGCCGAATAGTTTGGCCGAATATTCGGCCACGCTCCTGTTCGAATATTCGGTATTCGGCCTGAGGCCGAATATACTATTTGTTGCAACACTAAAAATAATAATAAAATATAAAAAATTTTACCTGTGCTAGTTTGGTTTAATCGCCTTTTAACTTTTTCTTGTACATCCGGAGACATTTTCTTCTTAACTTCATTCGGATTACTCGGGGAAATTTTACCATTTTCTTGAATAATATTAATAGCTTTGCGCTAAAATTTTAAATAATATACATTATTTATTTAAATTATACATTGTTTTCATCAATGTATAATTTTTATACATATACATGTGTTTTCATCAGTGTAAACAATTATATTTTTAAAGAAAAAAATCACTTACAAAAGAACTTTGTCAAAAAGAAAGTTATAAAAGCTAAAGTATGTTTAAACAACTTTTATTTTATAATCAAATAAAACAGAATTTTCCACAAAACAAAATTTTAATGGAAATTTTTTCAACAATAAATAAAAAGTTTTTAAATAAGTTTTATTTTGAAATATCTCAAAATTATATTTGCAAGAAAAGTTTGTTTTTTACATACGTCAAGAGATCTTTAGGTACATATAATAGTTGTTTTGAAAAACTGTAATGTTAATAATAATAAAATTAAGAATTCATTTAATTAAAAACTTGGTCCGATTTATTGTTAAAATAGCAATAAACTCAGAACTTCATTACTGGGCTGCAATTTTTAAAAATTCAAATTCCTACTGGCATCTGTCTGTTTCTCCTTCCTAAATCTTAAGAATGGAATCAGACAGACATAAGTTGAAACCAAACATGAAAAGTTTAACTGCAGGAGGTCCTGATAAACTATATATGAACTTCCAATTGGACCAGAAGTTGCATTATTTTGATTCAAAAATTTTCTGAACAGAGTTATATAGACGATTGGCATGACTCTACTGTTAACAGAAAAAGTATGATGTACAAGGGTAAGACACTACTAAAATTAAGAACATTGTGACAAAACATTGCTGTCTGGCATTGTGACAACATCCTAATAAATACGAGGGCTGTTCGGAAAGTTTGCGGCCTTGCCTATATGCGGCGCTGCGATCAATTTAATTTTTGGCGGGAATAATTCAGCCATCTTTGCTAAAGATACGATACCAATTTCCGCTTGATTTGTCAAAAAGTTTTGCCACGACAGCTTAGAGATAGTCAGTGTGCACATGCTTTGTCAAAAATGGAGGAGACGGAGACTCGTGCAGTCATAAAATACCTGACGAAAAAAAGGTTGACCGCATCTCAAATCAAAGCTGACATGGATGAAGTTTTAGGAGAGTCTGCTCCTTCGTACACCACTGTGAAAAAATGGACAGCCCTTTTTAAATCTGGCAGAGAAAGTGTGGAAGATGACCCTCGCAGCGGACGGCCGTCAACTGCTGTCACTGAAGAAAACATCGACAAAGTTCACGATTTGGTATTAGCAGATCGCCGTTTGAAAACGCGTGAGATAGCTGAGACAACAGGCATCTCTGTCGACCGAGTGCACCACATCCTAACCGAAGATTTGGGTATGACGAAGGTCTCAGCAAGGTGGGTGCCGCATCTGCTGACCGCCGAGCCAAAACGTGTTCACACTTTGATGTCAAAGGAGTGTTTGGACTTCTACCAGAAAAACCCACAAGATTTCTTGCATCGGTTTGTGACTACTGACGAAACGTGGATCCATTACTACACTCCTGAAACAAAAGAACAGTCGAAGCAATGGAAACACCACAGTTCGCCACCACCAAAGAAGGCAAAGACAGTTCCATCAGCGGGTAAAGTGATGGCCTCGGTTTTTTGGGATGCTAAAGGCATCATCTTTATTGACTACCTAGAAAGAGGAAAGACCATTAATGCTGTCTATTACTGTGAACTTTTGGAAAAACTGAAGAAAGAAATCGAAGAAAAGAGGCCACACTTGAAGAAGAAAAAAGTTCTGTTCCACCACGATAATGCACCTGCACATTCCGCCAGAATCACTGAACAAAAGATAAACGAACTTCGCTTCCAATTAGTTCCACATCCACCGTACTCACCTGATTTGGCCCCCAGTGACTTCCACCTTTTTCCAAACCTAAAAAAATTCTTGGCTGGAAAGAGATTCCACTCAAATGACGAAGTCATCTCTGAAGTGAATGAGTATTTTGCACACCTTGACAAATCGACCTATTGTGATGGCATAAAAAAGCTAGAACATTGCTGGAATAAGTGCATTGCTAACAGAGGAAATTACATTGAAAAATAAAGTTTTAACATTATTTTGTTTGTTTTTCTATGTGAGGCCACGAACTTTCCGAACAGCCCTCGTAACTGCTTGTTTATTATTCCTTTACATCTTATTGTTCTTGTTATTTTAACATTTCAAATTCATGTTAAACTGTTTCTAACGATCAAGTCCACTGACTCAATAGAATTCCTCTGTGTGTTCAGATAATCTATAATTTAAAGTCGGAGCAGGGGTGGTTCCTCATAGCAAATTAATTTTACAAACAATTTTAGCTTCAAAGCATTTTGTGCATCTCTTTCACTCACAATAAGTCTTTTTTAATGAAGGTAGGAAGCATGTAAAGCTAAAATTTCCAATTATACGTAATTTTGTATTTGAAATGAACTTTTCATATTTTATTTATTTATTTATTAAATCAACCTATAGGAAGTCCCAATAACAGGTCTGTTTATATAACAATAATACAAAGGAGTATAACGTGCTAAAAAAATTAGAACATTACACTTCACCCCTCCACATACACCAGGAAGATTTATAACAAAAAAATTGAGAATGTAAAACATAATTCCCACATTAATCTTAAGCATTCAATATTAAACTACTTGAATAAGTAAATGCCAAAACTGTTATTTAGAACTAAATAAATCCAATTGCTTTCTCAAGCAATTATAGAATGCCATCAGTTTATGAACAGATACATTTTGAGCAATATTAGATTTGTACAAAGAAATTTTAAATCTAAAATGATTCTTACTAGTTATAGGTACTTGCAAAAATTATTAAAAAATCATTTAAGAATAAAATTTTAAATATACTTTTAAAACTATATTACTATTAAAAGTTAATACTAACATGTTTAATGAACATTATTATAATAAAAGTAACATATCTAATATTTAACAAATTATTAATAAAAATGTTTACCTTATTATAAATATGTTTTTATACTTACTTTAGCAATTTCTGCAGAAAGAACTTTTGTTTTCTGTTGTGTTAATTCTAAAGTAATGAACCCTCCTGGATTAATATTGCGTCCTAGACATGGTAAGCCACTGGGATGTTGAGGTTTATTCAAGGAATTCGTTAAGATATTTTTGTTTTTTATCTGCTGTTTTGTTTCTTCTAATTGTCGTTTGTGCATTTTTAATAATTCCTTTGGAGTAATAGATTTAATTTCACCCACATTTGTAACTGTGAAAGTCAATTCAGTTGTTAAAATTTTTAATTTAAATTAATATTTTAAATTACTGAGGAGTATATTAAAAAAAATATCAACAATGTAATATTTAGTTAATGTAAGTGATTATTTTACAAATTTATGCAGATTAACAGTTAAATAATTTTATTTATTTTAAAACTTAACATACACATCAATAAAGTTCATAAGAAATGTAGTAGTATATATTATAATTTAATGTAAAAAGTGAAATGATGATTTGAAAACATCTTCAAATAATTTCATATCTTATAATTTCAGATTATTTTCACTTATTCATTGTTATTTTATACAGTAGAGCATCATTACTCAAAAAATTTATTAACTAAAATTGTCTTCAGAGAGTACTAATTCCAGAAATTACAAAATTTTTATATAATAATGCTCATCAGCAAGCTTCTCAGGCCCACCATTGAGCCAGCTCATTATCAATATTACTGTTAAGGTTTTATTTATCACAGTACAAATAGAAATGCATTTATATAAACTAATAAACATTATTCTTAATTATGCTTTATAAAACATATACAGTAAAACCTCACTAAGTCAAACTGAGTTAACTTGAAGTTGCATTAACTCAAAGCTACCTAAAGGTCCTGGACACAGTATATACAGTTTTCCATATAATACAGTCTTGTTAAATCAAAATTGCTGATACTTTTAACTTTAACCTATTTTCCCGTATACCCTACACTCTTCAATAAGTATGTGATCTTTATTTTCTCTTATATTCCATGTAAATACAGATTATTAAGATAAACAAACATTATGACTCCATCCTGAAGACAACAACACATAATTACAGCCTCATATCTACAACCTATTACTGATACATGTTACCACCACTGATTGGGACACAATGGGACAACTTGTTAATGCCCTCAAAAGTGCCATAAACAGTATATATCTGTGTATGTACTGTTTATGTATTACACTGCAATCATGCTGTGAACAGATTGTTGAGAAACATCTTGATAATGGGAAATTTATGGCCAGAGAAATCTGAGAAAATCAGATTAACTTAACTCAAAGTCAGAATCTTTTTACCCCTTAAACTTTGACTTAATGAGAGTTTTACAAAACTGTAAAATAAAATTTCATAAATTTTAACAATCTTAGAAATATTATCAATAGAATAATCATCTGGCACAATATCATCCCAGACGCATAGTGAGGCTATGGCCAATGTGACCCAGGCCATACGTGCTAATTTTACATATAGGCACAAATATTGAAATTTATAACTTTAAAAGGTCAAAGTGACACACAATGGTGTTCTAAATTAAACTGTGTATCTGCACTAAAAACACAATTTAAAGAGATATGATATATCAATAATAAAATTTAATAAGATCTGTCTTTTGGTGCAGATAGTGTTAGTGGTGCAAAAGAACTTTTGTTTCATCTTAAGTCTTATAAATCTGTTTTTATGCTGTTTATGAAGGAAAAACTATTGATACAGATAAATACAGTAAATTTACAACTGCAAAAGAGACCAAGATATTTGTCGAACATCCATTCTTTTGAAAGAATTAACAAATTATTTTAAAAATTTCAGAAACAATGGTTTTCAAGAGATTAGTATGAAGTGCCAGCAAAAATGCCAAGTGCTACATATTGAATCTGAAATGACTGAAAAATGGAAAAAGAAGTTAAAATTGTTGTCAAGTGAATCAAGTAATTTGAATATGATTATTACTGCTGAAGAAGAACTAAATTGATTAGTTTTAGAAATTGTCGACATAATTCTTTTGCAACTTACTGACTGCTTTGAGCGCATTCATACAAAATCATTGCTCTTTTCTTTCATAATGGGAAAAGGTTTAGTTTTGTTAACTTCAGAAGACTTGACAAAAGCTGTCAAAGATTGTTGCAATAAATATGATAAATTAGATGCTTTATGCTTAATAAATGAGTTGAAATTTTTTAAGAATGAAGCACAAGTTTTATTTACTGATTTGGAAAATATGTATCACTGAGATTTTTCAGGGCAATGTAAATTAAGAATTATGTAAAACTTAACCTAACACAGTAATATGTTAATGTTAATTATTATGTTAATAGTTAGTTTACAGGTAACAATTGCTTCAGGAGAACAGAGTTTTGGTAAATTAAAAATTTTAAAAATGATTTCAGATTAAAAATGAGTCAGAAACGTCTGACCAATTTGAAGTACTTTATCAATAGAATCTGAAATGTTTTGTGAAGAAAATGTCAACAATGTAATTGATAATTTTGTTCAAAGAAAAGCTTGGAAAATAAAATTATTGTAAAAAATGTTTTATTGTATTGAAATAAAAAGTATAAAAATATCTGAATTTTTTTTAGAATGGAGCAATTTTTTTTCTTGGCCATAGGTGCCAAAATTCCTCACTATGTCTCTGTATTATCCATTTATTATTGGTTTTGTTTTTTTGTGGTGTAGTAAACACTAGTATTGTGTTTTATTGTTAAAAATCTACCAACTCCAACTCCGACTCCGACTTTTCCTTATCATTCGACTCTGACTCCGGCTAAAACACCAAAACTCCACGACTCCGGCTCCGACTCCGACTCAACAGCCCTGCCAGGACTGTGGAAGTCGCGTAAAAATCTACCGACTCCAACTCCGACTTTTCCTTACCATCTGACTCCGACTAAAACATCAAAACTCCACGACTCTGACTCCACAGCCCTGGTTTTATTCCAAAGACACGTGGCAAATTTTCCATCAAATTCCTTTATTAGTTGATTTCCATCAAATTCCTTTATTAGTATTGGTTTTGTTTTTCTTATTATTTAGTAAAATCATAATCAAGTTATTTAATTAAAAAAATCTTAATAAAATGATTGTAACAGCAATAATACAGTGAAATGTTTTATATGTTGAATATAATATATTTACTTTTCAAAGAAGAACATTTCTATGATCATCAGTTAAAGATGAAAAAATAACTTTTTCTAAGAGATAAAAATCTTAAGAAACAAAATAGTTAAATTCTCATCAAAGAAATAATCTAAGAAATAGTATAGAATTTACCTTTATTATTTTCATCTTTAATTAAATGTCTTAAGAAGTTACGAGAACCAGCAGATGGAATGCTCAATTTTTCTCCCCTAAAAAATATAATATAAATGAATAAAATAATTTTCTTATTTAATTAATTACTATACACATGCTATCTCTATATGTAAAAAGATCTTTTAAATGCCAATGAGAGTTAAATTTTCATTAACTCAAACACCACTGAAGATGCGACAAATAATCCCCTCTATCTCCCCAACCCCCTTGAGTTCCATACACCAAAATTTAATAGCATCAATGCCCCTTATATAAAAGTTAGCATGCCAAATTTTGTTCCTTAACCTTTACCCCCATCCTGAGATATTAAACAAAATAGATGCCAACACACACATGCAGAATTTTTTCTTTTTACTTCTTTGGGTTCAGGAGGCCTCAAAACACCAAGATTTGCAAAAGAACTGGAGACCAAATACTTTACATAACAGCCGGGAAAGTAAATGTATCGAGTAACAAAAAGGATCTTGTTTTGAACAATTTTTGCAATGTTCGTAAGTAACAAAGTAATTGAAAAAAGAAAAAATAGTTTTTGGAATGATTAACCAACTTTTAAGATACTCCACATTTGCTTCAAATATCATTAATGATATGCATTTGTGTTGTATCTAAATCATAATTGTAAAAANAGAAATAATCTAAGAAATAGTATAGAATTTACCTTTATTATTTTCATCTTTAATTAAATGTCTTAAGAAGTTACGAGAACCAGCAGATGGAATGCTCAATTTTTCTCCCCTAAAAAATATAATATAAATGAATAAAATAATTTTCTTATTTAATTAATTATATAACAAAAAATATGCTTTATGATATTACATATTAAATAAGAGAAATCAGTATTTTGTGATGTTCACCTTTGTTGAATTAGATTAAATTATAGACTGGCTTCATATTTGTACAATACAACCTAAGTAATGTGTCAGGGATAAGAATTAAAAGAATGCTGAATTAAAGAATAAATGATAAATATACCAAGATAGAATTATGAACACACACACAGTTTGTATATGTAATCAGGTGTTTATATAGAAATACAATCCATATTATTCAAAATGTAAGTTTAAACAAATGAATAAATATGCTCTATTTCTGAAAAAAAAGCATTATTTTTATGTTTCTGTTTCTTTTAAACTTCTTCCAAATGTTTGCAATAGTAAATGCTGTATGGTGCCTACTTCAGATTGATTTTCAAATCAATCAATGAATCTGCAGCATCTTTATGATTTACTACTGTCAAAAACTACACAGTTGATTATTCTTTGACACTATCTATAATTTCATTCTCCTCTAAACATTGTTAATTCATTCCTTGTCATTAAAAAGCTCATACCTATTGCCAAAGCAATCAATTTCCAGCTATTCATTTACCACATTTTCTTTGACATTTTTAAAATTGGAAATTTGCATAATTAAATCCTGTGTTGAAGTATAGAATCTTTTGTATTTAATTTTCTATAGTAATTTCATTAGAACTCATTTCAGCAATTCTGTAGAGTTGTAGAGGATGTTATTCTAACATCTGGCAATACAGTAAATTGGATCTTTAACATGAATTTTCTCCAAAACTGTTGAATATCAGCATTACTTTCTATTATTACATTTTGAATGAAGGTACATCCATAACACCATTTAAAATTTTCAATTACCATGGGTCCTTGATCAATGAATTGAATCAAAGATGTTGTATTAGCTATTATCTTACTGTTCTCTGATATCCATCCAGTCTGTTGGAGTATTGTTCATTAATAGTAAAGTTTTAACAGACACAAAGTAACGAAGACAAGCAACAGTTTACTATAAAGAAGCTAGTCAATCCATCGTAATCAACTTCAAAGTAAAAAATGGCAAAAACTCCTGCAATTGATATCGATCTGTGAACGACTTACTCCTGCGTTGGAGTATTTCAATATGAGAAGGTGGAAATCATCGCTAACGACCAAGGAAACAGAACCACTCCCAGTTACATAGCATTTACCAATACCAAGAGGTTAATCAGTGATGCTGCAAAGAATCAAGTAGCCATGAATCCCAGTAACACTGTCTTTGATGCGAAACTTTTGATAGGAAGACGTTTTGACGATACCTCAGTGCAAGCTGATATAAAACATTGGCCATTCGAAGTAATTAACAATGCCAGTAAACCAAAAATTAAGGTAGAATACAAGGGCAAAACAAAAACTTTCTTTCCTGAGGAAATTTCCTCTATGGTATTGGAGATAGCAAAAATGAAGGAGATAGCAGAAGCTTACTTAGGAAAGACCGTCACCAATGCTGTCGTAACTGTACCCACTTATTTTAATGACACTCAGAGGCAGGCCACTAAGGATGCCAGCACAACTGCCGGATTGAATGTTCTCAGGATAATCAACAAACCCACTGCGGCTGCCATTGCTTATGGACTTGACAAAAAGGTTACTAGAGAAAGAAATGTTCTCATTTTTGACCTTGGTAGTGGCACTTTTGATGTATCCTGTTTAACAATTGAAGAAGGTATTTTTGAAGTGAAATCCACAGCTGGTAACACTCACTTGGGTGGTGAAGATTTTGATAACAGAATGGTTAATCATTTTATTCAAGAGTTCAAATGTAAGCACAAAAAAGATATCACCCAAAACAAATAAGCCCTGTGGAGATTGAGAACTGCCTGTGAAAGAGCAAAGAGAACACTTTCATTGGGGACTCAAGCAAGCATTGAACTTGACTCTTTGTTTGAAGGCATAGACTTCTACTCGACAATCACTAGAGCTAGATTCGAAGAACTCAATGCTGACTTGTTCCGCGGTACTCTAGAACCTATAGAAAAAGCTCTCAGGGATGCAAAGTTAGATAAAAGCCAAATACACGACATTGTTTTAGTAGGTGGTTCTACTAGAATTCCAAAAATCCAGAAATTATTGCAGGACTTCTTTAATGGCAAAGATCTTAACAAAAGTATTAATCCAGATGAAGCTATTGCCTATGGTGCTGCAGTTCAGGCTGCCATTCTGAAATGATGTCAAATCTGAACAAGTGCAAGATTTAAATCTCTGACACTAATTGTAAAGCTGTAGAGAGATCATTCACTGTCCATCCAACTACTTGTCTGATTATGGTACCACAGGCAACAACTTTATATTGACATTTTAAAACCACCTAGTTTCCTTTGAAAAAATAACAATGGCTTCCCTAACAACAAGTGGCACGTGATGATTCTCACTGAATTTGCTCATACCATCACAACAATTCTTTCTTTTTCTTACTTTGTATACAGGAGTTGAAGTTTTGGATGATGATGGAGTTTTTGTGGAAGTGCTTTCTAAGTTAACTTGCGGGTTGTTGTTAAATTCAGCGCTGCGAACAGCACTTCTAAGCAATGCCGCTGAGAGCGTTGTTAAACTCATTTTCTTGAAGCGCTGCGCGCAGCGAACTTCTCAGCGATTTCACTGGTTCGAGGTTAAATCTGCAGCGATCGAACGAGGTGCTTTTTGCGCTTAAACAAAATGGCAGCCACCAGAATGGAATTCGTCGAATTTGTTTACGAGAACTTAAAAATTGAACTAAAAGTTGATTCNTTTCCTTTGAAAAAATAACAATGGCTTCCCTAACAACAAGTGGCACATGATGATTCTCACTGAATTTGCTCATACCATCACAACAATTCTTTCTTTTTCTTACTTTGTATACAGGAGTTGAAGTTTTGGATGATGATGGAGTTTTTGTGGAAGTGCTTTCCAAGTTAACTTGCGGGTTGTTGTTAAATTCAGCGCTGCGAACAGCGCTTCTAAGCGATGCCGCTGAGAGCGTTGTTAAACTCATTTTCTTGAAGCGCTGCGCGCAGCGAACTTCTCAGCAATTTCACTGGTTCGAGGTTAAATCTGCAGCGATCGAACGAGGTGCTTTTTGTTCTTAAACAAAATGGCAGCCACCAGAATGGAATTCGTCGAATTTGTTTACGAGAACTTAAAAATTGAACTAAAAGTTGATTCTTCAATTAAACGTCGTTTAGAAAATGGTAAGTTATTGTTTTTCATAACGCTTTATTAATTACACGAAATAAACTCGAAATTCACACAAAAAATTATATATTAAAGTTTGTGTAAAAGACTGTACAGGCATACTTTTTACATAATTGGTTTGATAAATTACATTATACAAATAATAATCACTTTCTACGCAATATTAGTATCTTAAAAGTAATTCCAACGTGATATTATTAAGAATTGCTGTAAACTAGGCTATATCATAAGCAAATTGCTATGAATGGTATAAATAAAGGCTTACATATCCTTTAATTTATAGGACTTTATACACGTGTATTTTCCAAAAAAGAAAAAAAAATGCATTTTGGATTTATAGTCTCTCATCAGTTGGAACATAATATTCAAATGTATACAATAACCAATTTATTACCCCTTGTGATAAAGGTTACCTTGAACAGTTACAGTTAAAATTACAATTAAATTGTATAAATTAGTTTTATTATGAATTGGAGGGTATGATAAGCATTTATAGCATTAATAATAGTAAAACTAGTTTAAAGTAATTAAAAAGGACAAGTCATTTGTTTAGTTCCTATCAAACAACAAAAGTTCATGTTCTTTTATGGTTTTCAGATCATGATTTCATTCCTCGGTTTTTTGAAGAACTGATATATGAGAGGGGAATGAGAGAACAGATTGGTTTACCAGAAGATGTTGATATTAATTCAATAAGACTGGCCAGCAAATCACACGAGGAGGGAGAATCAGGTATGTATATGTTTATATACATCAGTATATACATGTATATACTAATACACTATAAATAATAGTTGTTCTTTCATATTGTTGCAGGAGACTTCTCTTGGACTGATTCCTCCACGCGGTTGTTGATAACAACACGATTAAATATGGACGATGAATTCAGAAAACCCATAAGAAAAACAAAATTATGGGATTCAATATCAAAAAAGATGGAAAATCATGGTTACACTATTTCTCCCAGTGACTGTGATAAGAAATGGAGAAATCTGAAGACGACATATAAAAGAAATAGAGATAAGGCAAAACAACACACTGGGGAATCTGCCATTACCTGGCCATACTTCAAGTTACTGGACCAGGAACTTGGATCTAGAGTGGACATCAATCCTCCAGAAGAAAGTATCATTTCTTCTGAACCATGCGTGGAGCAGATCCCATCTCCCAGTGAACTTTCAAGCAGTTCGTCAGGATTGCCTGCCCACTCTGAATGTGATGTGGCAGCAGTACATCTCCCTTCAATAAATTCTTTTCGGAATCACACAAATTTAAAAAGAAAAAGAAAAGAAAATCCTCCAGAGTGGTTTCAAGCTTGGGCCAGTAAGCAAGAACAAGAAAAGAAAGAGGATCGTGAGAGAGAAGATCAGCGCTGGCAGGAATTTAAAGAGATCGAAGAAAAGCGTTTGAAACAAGAGAAAGAATGTGAAGAGAAGAGAGTAAACATGATGAGTTCTCTTCTAAATGTATTGCAAAAAATTGCAGAAAAATAAAATAACAATATGTGAATTCATTGCATCTGATTTGTTTTATTTACAATAATTTTTACATTTGATATTTTTAATCTTTGCTCAATTTTTACATTTCCCCCAATTATTTAACTTTAGTATAATTCAATGAATTGTATAAGTGAGAATAACATTTATTAAACAATTTCATATAACTAATGAGAAAATGATAAAATTGTACATAAAATTTTAAATTTATATGATTTTACACATATATTTTAATAAAGTTTCTGATAATAAAGGCTAATAAATACATTTCTAACACACCGGTTTCATACATGCTGGGTTGATCAGCCAGTTTCAAATATATTATTGTATTAAAAACAAATTTCGTCTAGTCTCCTCGTCATTGTATCCTTACACTAGATTATCACTTTCTTGTGAATTGTCTCCTATACTACTATTTTGTAGTCTCATGACACCATAAAGATAATCAGCAATAGCATCCCTCTTATTATTTGCTGCATTAGTTGAATGTTGGCTTGGGTGAGGCTGGAAAGGAGTGAAATGTTTATCCTCATCTGGACTAACATCACTTTGTAGAATACAAAGATTATGTAAAACACAAGCAGTAAGAATAATTTTAGTTAAGTATTGCTTGTTTCTTACGAACAAAAATTTCAGTCGACGAAAGCGTCCAAACAGATCACCATATGCTTGTTCTATTACTATGCGAGATGAACTTAGTCTTTTATTAAAATATTTCTGTTTGGAATTCAGATGTCCATTGTCCTTGTAAGGAACCATCAAATATGTCTCTAGTGGGTATGCTGAGTCACCAAGTAAATGGCAGTTCTCTGGGAGTGGGAGAGTTTTATTTGATAACCCAATCCCTACATCACTGTTTCGCCACACCCTTGCATCATGTGCAGATCCCGGCCAGCCAGCATAAACTGCAGTAAACATTTTGTCACTTCTGCAGATCCCTTGAAGTATGACTGCAGTGCACTGCTTCCTGCTGTAATATTCTTGCTTTTCATGATGACAAACTGTTACTTGTATTAATGTCCCATCAACACATCCAAAGACATTTGGAAAGCTGTTTCTGCCCCTTAATGATGAAAAGTTTTTTACCACTTCTTGGCCATTTAATGAAAATTTCTTTTAAATTACAAACACCTTTACAAAATACTATAAACAACCTATGAGCATGTCCTTTATCTAGTCCAAAACGGTCACCTACGCCTCTAAAGGATTCCTGATTTCCTAAAATCCATAAGGACAATAGGACAACCTTTTCTTTTTTTACCTCTATAATGGATGACCGTCCAATTTTCTTCGTTTCTTTTAAATTCAGAATCTGGCAAAGGTATTCAACGCTTTCACGCTGAAGTCTGAAGTGGCCTTTAAAATCCAGATCACTGTATCGAGGAATAATTTCCTCATAATAGTTTTGTATCCTGGCTTTTTTCCGCGGTTGCACCACAACAGAACTTGCCATTCCAGCAATTACTTCGTCGTCATGTTTACGCTTCCTAAATAAGACATTGTATCGCAAAAATGAATTCTTTTTAAAATTTTTCGAATTAAATAATTCGCTAAACATTCCAACAATTGCACTGAGAGCCGCCATTTTGGAACTGCAGCGCTGCCCCGTGTGCGTTGTTAAAAGACATTCAGCAGCGATCGTTGTTAAAAGACATTCAGCTCTTGCAGCCTAAGCTGCAGCGCTGAATTTAACAACAACCCGTTGGTTTCATCATAATTGCAGACTGTTCATAGTTAAGTTTCTCTTTATAATCAACTTAGATGTACTTAGTTATTATAGTTGAGTTTGCACTTCTTATTCAATATGCAGTAGCCAAATTACATATTGATTTTTTAAATCTACTGAACCATCCTATACTCATTAAAACAATGAGTCACTATTCATTTTCTTATTCAATTTGGATGATTGGCCCTGTCAACAGAATTTCTTGGCTTCTATGCTGAAAAAACCATTGAAATAATATAATTGTTTACTGGAAAAATTCAGTGCATTTTTCTTACTTGCATTCCTATCAGATGCACCTTAAATATTATTTAAGGAATATGAGTTATGTTAAAATGAGATAGAAATTTCAACCATAAAAAAATAATGGAAAAGCTTGACTCAATTTTTTTAGATTTACAAGTGGTTTTCAGGAACAAGATACCTCATAAATCAGCATACACTGTATAAAAAATCATACTAAAAACTAAAATTCTAACATAATAAATGTTCTTAACAAACACTAAGTTCAAACACAGAAATGTAGCCCACTGAATTACACTGGGCTACATTTCTGTGATTATATTTAATTAACTTCTAAATAATTGTTTGGCTTATTACAAATATATTGGGTTTCATGATGTTTGTATATGTATCTTAACAAACAATTTTAATAAATCTCTTTGGAGTTTCAAGATACAAATGCATAAATTTTTCCAACAAAAGATAATTTTTTAAATGTCATTTTGGATGAGCAGTCAGTAAGTCTCACAAGATGCAATATTAATCATACTAACATTACCATACTAGTCATTTTACATACTTTTGATACTAAAATAATTATATACAGTCAACCCCCTATAACATGGTAGATACGTTCCGGTTTTTATGAATCCATTTTCTACGAGTCCAGCCAATCACAGCCCAGCATGTATGCAGTTTACGGACTACTGCTGTTTGAAAGGTTTCTTCCATAAAATTAATCAATTCTAGACTAATTCGACTCAACATTTCCAAAATATGTATAATTTTTTGGGACTAATCCATATAAACTATGCTATAAACAAAAAATTGTAAGATTACTTACCGAGTGTGCACCGTTCAACTGCGCCATTGCTTAAGCTTGTTTTCGTCGTGGAGCTTGTCATCGAATAGCGCTCACGTGCTTCCTGATAAATTATTTTTTTTGCGAAAAATTCACTGAACTTTAGAGACATCATTAATATAAATATAATTTTTATGGACGTTAAATGATAAATGGTTTTTAGTAGGTCCACTGCTAGTTTAAACTCAACGGTTTGTACAATATCCGCTATTGGTCTAGATTCGACCAATCCTGTTGCAACGTGAGTCGGCAATGACGTTTTACCGAATTATACGAGTTTTTTTTAACATGTTTGTACAAATACTGTCGCAATTTTTTCGCTGTGATATAGGTATCCAAACTATAGGAGCCCATGTTATAGGGGGTTGACTGTATATCTAAATTGTAGCCTATCTTGACTGCAATGTTTTTCATTGTTTACACAGAAAGAGCATTACTTCATGTTCTATTTCTAGTGAAAGTGAAATTAAAGATTTCATTATCATTTTTAATTATTTGCTTAATTTTTAAACTCTATAGTTTACAAATCCATTTTATATTAATTAAAATAACATTCATATAAAATTTAAATTATTATTAAATAATTTTCAATTTAGAAGATAATAGTAAAAAATATCATTGTGCAATGTTTTCTAAACAGTAATAGGATGAATGAAAGAAAACTTCAGCATCCTATTGAATAGTCATACCATTATAATCCATATATGAAAGCTCATGTTTCATTAAGCTTGAGTATGTTTCATTTTATTGTGGACAAGAATGTGAGGTAGCAAGAGCAATTATTTATTTATAGTTAGTCAATTATATTATTTTTTCCTTTTGTTTCAGATAACTTTGAGTTTTGAACCTCAATCTGCTATCTTAACACTTCCCACTAATACTTAATTTGCATAATTTTACACTAATATTTAAATAATGAATAGAATTGCATAATGTGATGCAATTCCATTCATTATTCAAATATTAAGGTTTAAAAATGAGTTTTATATAAATTATTGTTGTTGAAATTATAATTTTTGTTTTGTAGTCAAAAACTCCAGTACTGGAATTTATAGTTTATTAATTTAAAGATTTTTGATATTTTATGAACTCTGAACCCCTTTCCTGGAGTTCATAAAATTTCTTTTCAACTCAATTCAAAAATTAACGTTTTTTTTCTTTGTTATTTAGAACTTTACAAAATATAACATTAATTTTATATTTTGTAAAGTCTATATATTTAATTCAAACACTATCTCATATGTAAAATTAATTATTAAATAAAATATAATTCTTAAAAATTAACTTACATAAATGATGAGTGTGAAATAATATCCTTTAGTGCTTCATTTTCAGTACTGTTTGAGTGAGTGGATGCTATTTTTAAACATTTTTCTCTTTCTTCATGCATAAGATTTTCAGCTTTTTTTTGTAATTTGAAATTATCCAATTTTAATTGTCCTTTTATTTCATTTTTCTTATTAGTTGCCCTATAAGCAATATTTTATAATATAAATTATATTAGATATAATCATAAAGAATTAAATGTATTAATGCAATTATAATAAAAGAATAATTACTTTTTTGAATTTAAAACAAATGACTGACCACCATAAAATATCGGTTGTTTATTTAATATTGTTTTCTTTAAGCATTTGGGCTCAGTTCCAGAATAACTAAAATGAAAAATAAAATTAATTATTCATAAAAAACTTTAATAAAATTCAGTTCAAATTATTTTTAAAAGACATAAAAAACAAATTTATGACCTTCATTTTTGTGTCTAATTTCATTCAAAAGTGCATCTTTAAATATCTTCAAAACTTAATGCTTGTTTGCCAATGAAAGAGATCATTTTCTCTCTTAACATTCAACATATAAACAATTATTTATATTTCAACTTTATAAAGTTATGTTGACATTGAATATAATAAAATTCATAAAAGTTTTTAGATAAAGAAAATTATAACATATGATTATGTGTTATTTGTTTTGCATTCAAAATCAGAAAAATTCCAGTTTCAAAAATCCTTTAGATCAGAATTTCTGGATAAAATATATTGTATTTTGTATCTACGATTTGTTGAATAGATTTTTTAAATCAGTTTAGCACTAGTTTCTAAAGCTTCAATATTGTAAGATAAATAATAATTCTAGAATTTTTTAAAAAATCTAAAATTTTTTCAGTTTTGAACTCTAAAAGGGCCTGTATTTGAGATTGAACATGGATTTCACTGGGCCTTCAATAGGGGGTAGGGCCTAACATATCTAAGACAGACCACCTCTGAAAAATTTGAGGTTTGTATCCAAGACTTGCATCTGCATTCTCCAGAGTGGTAGGCTGATGCCTTTACTGCTTCATCCATCTGTGCTGTCCTTTTTCTACATGTCAAATTTCAGCATGAAATTAATATAATTGAAAATAATGAATAAATGAAAATAAAATTTTATAACCAAAGCTGATTCTTTCCTTCTAGGTTACAACTTCAATAATACTTCTGATAGTTTAAACTATCCTCTTCAGACTGAGTCAATTAAACTCAAACTGAACAAGAGGATAGTTGTAAACTATCGAAAGTATTTGCAATTTTGAATAAAATGTTGGTTTTAATGCCATAAGATAGAGTACATTACATTGTAACATTACACTAGCTTTCTAGATTTCATTATTTTTATCTTTATTAATAATTAATTAATATTAATTATTTTAGAAATTCTATTAAAAAATACTGCAAACTTACGATGATTGAAGTTCTGTTCTTTTCAAACTGAGTTTTCTGTATTCTTGTTTCACATGATATGCACAATATTCTCCTTGACTTCTAATTTATTTAATCAAAAATAAAACTGTATCTTAATATTTTGAATTAATTTATTTTAATAGAATAAACAAACAACTTATGAATTTATATTGTAAAATGTTTTAAATTCTAAATGTCTATATAGTTACCAAAAATTAGATAATTTTATGGTAAATAAATCATCCCACATGGCTTCTTAAGGTTACCAACAATTCTTCATTTATAAAAAGGCTTTTGCCCTCTGTTGAGTCATTTTCAGTTCTCTACATTTCAAAAGATATAGAATTGTATTTTCTGTGAATAATATTTGGCATAAAACTTTCAAAATGGACTATTTTAAATATTTTTAAATGAAAGGAACAGATATAAATTTAAAATAAGCATGTTATAATTTATGATTAGGTTAGTATGCTATTCACGCCAAATAATATTAATTGATAATTAAAACACAGTGAGTTTTAATTACCAATGAAAGGAACAGGTAAGAACAAAACAAAACAAATTATAAATACTTGTAGGAGATTAACTGCTACACTAAAATTAACATATTAATTAAAAAGTGCTTTTTAAAAAACATTGAATGCATTATAATGATCTTGTAATTTACAAAAAACAAAAAAAAAAAAATTAGCTAATTTTCTAGCCTGTAAAATGTTATAACCTACTAAATCCTTAGATTTTTTCCTTAATTTAACTCTAACCACATAACATTAAAGTATAGTAAAACCTAAAGAAGATAAACTAAACCCATACCTCGCTATACGGTCGCTCTTTATACGGCATTTTGCTATAACGGCCCTCTTCGATTAAGGCATGTTTTTGATTTATGGCCTAAAATGTTTCGCTATAACGGCAAAAAAAAACTTTTTTCGATGTCGATATATCTACATGTTGCCAATCTTGTGCAAGCACAATCTCTATGTACACTCTTCTATTTCCTCTTGTTTACGAGCGTTATTCAGTGTGTGCTCATAAAGCGGCTGGTTTAGACTTGCCCGTGAGTGTTTTATGTACATATTTATTACTGAAGAACGAAATAGACAAGAAGGCAAGACAAACAACAGTGGACAATTTTTTTAAGCAAGGCCCATCCTTACCAGCGAAAAATGATGACGACAGTGATCTGCAGGTTACCATTTCTTCATCGTCTTCAGATTAAAGCCATTTTATAAAAAATTATGTATGTACACATACACATATTTTATGTAACATGAAGTTGTTTCATTTTTGTTTATAGATTATTGTTGGTTTTTGGAGTCTGTTATTATTTTATGTACAAATGTACTTCTTATGTATGTATTTTTGATTTAAATGAAATAAAAAGATAAAATGCATTTTGAATGATAAATCATGTTACATATTTAATAAATTTGAAACCGATCTCATTGAATTTGTATGAATTTGTATTAGAATAATTGATTCCTTATACGGCTTTTTGCTTTGCGGCCAAGTTTCGTGGAATGTATCTAGGCCGTAAAGCGAGGTATGGGTGTATTTGGAGATATGCTTTTTGTCCTTTCGTTACTATAAATGAATATTTAAGTGTTAAGTTTTGGCTCTTAGGAGGACTTATCACACATTTTGGAGATAAGTGCGTATTTTGTAGTTGAAAACTCAATGCGCTGGAAGTTGTGTGGCAAGCATAAATTAGTTATTATCACACATTAATTGATACAGTACAAAATCACACAGAAATGGGTAAACACTGGTTATTTATTGTGACAACAATATGCATTTTGGATAATCTGTCCCTCTTTGACCATTTTTATTACAAACTGTGATTTACAGGAGTCTAAAATACATGAGGTTTACATTACAATAGTATGATTAGTAATTAAAATTAAGTTAAAACTAAAAATCTCTGTGTGATTTTCTACTGCATCAAGAGAGTGTGCTAAGTCCTCCTAAAAACCAAAACCTAATGCTCACATATTCAATTATAAGATAAACTGTGTTTAATATCTATTAAATAATTTACACAATTTCTCGTTTGAGCTTGCCAATGATTTTATTGAGATCTGTATTATCCAATACTGTTTTTCAGCTATTTTAGTTTCTTAGCATTGCAAGTGTTTATAATTTTTATATATTTTGAAAACCTATATATAAATATATTTGCTCTAGAAATCCTAACCTGCATTCTTTAATTAGACCTGGTTTGTCCTAGTGAACTTCTACTTCCTTTTGCCAAGCCCATATCATTAGTGAAGTAGCTACTCCATAGTAACCTTTAGCTATCAATCTATAATGTTCTTTAACTGTAATATCAGCAGATATTCATATTTAACCTATGTAAAAGTAATCCACATTATGCTTAGATAATCTTATTGTATATATGCCTGATTTTGATAGTTTATCTAACTTATCCTTGTCTGTCCTTAGCAGATTCATAATCAAAAGTCTCTTTTAACATCTTAATAATATCCTGCTTTTCTGACATACAAGACTGCTAATGCCATTAACTCTTCTTTTACCACCATCATGTCTTTCTTATTGCATACTTCATTTGTCTTACTCTACTTCCTTAAAGCTTTTTAATAAGGTCATTTATAACATTTTTAGAAACCACATGCTTGTATGCTATTTCCTTATTAGCTCCAATTCTGTATTTCTATCTGCTAATCTGCTACCATTGACAAATGAGATATTGCTCTATTAACTAGCACTCTATATGCTAATAATTTGAGCTATCATATCCTCTGACTATCAATGAATAAAAATTAGTTAAACAAATACTGGTTCACAATATACTTTATTACAAAAGTTCATTTATTTTTCAATATAGTTAAGCCTAAAAAGTTAATGCTCATCAAACTATCTTCTGTTAGTTTAATTGCCACTCCTACCATGTTTTCATTTATATGCTTGATGAATTCTTGGACTCTGCTCCTACTTCTCCATACAACTAACATGTCAACAAATCTTAAAACTTACTTGACACTGCTTACAAAATCCTTCATATATTAGTCCTGTTCCCACTTTAACACTATCTCAGACCTTCCTCCATAAACTGGAGCATCAGAGGATCTTATGTAGATCCCACAGGGACCCTCTTTGCTGCTGTTAAGTTACTAGTAGAAATTAGAATTCTATAATTTTTGAAATGTAGGAAACTGAAGATGGCTCAACAAAAGCCAAAAGTAAAGACTACTTTTACAAATAAAGAATTGTCGGTAACTTTAAGAAGCAGTGTGGGATGATTTATCATAATGGTACCAAGTTTCAAGGTAAGTTTTAATTTTATAATAAAAAATTATTATATTAGGTAGTTAAACAAAAAGTTTATTTACAAAGAGTAGACTTGACAACTGAGTCAGTACTCTGTGATGAATCAGTCAGAATATTTATTTATTTAGAGTTTCAAACATTATCTCTTGAGTTCATAGTAAATAAGTGCTCAATATTTAAATATTTCTCTTAACATGTTGCTTGGTAAGCATGTCTAACTTAGAGTATGTCAACTCTATTCCTTGCAAATAGACTTTTTGTTTGATCATATTGTACAATTTAGTCCCACAATAATTTTACTTGTATAACAAATACTTTGATATGGTCTTTTTCCACACGACTAAAAACATTATTTTACGATTTTAATACTTTTAATTTCAATTTAAACAATAAACATTTCATTATAATTTTAATTTTTGATTAATTTTACATAACAAAAAAATATCAAAACTTGAAATAAAAAATTCTTACAAGTTAATTATATTTTGACATGAGGCTCCATCTTTTCTTTTACTCTTACACTGTCCAAGATCCTTAGATGTTCCAATCATCATAACTTTTCCAGGATGATCCACAGAAAATGAAATTTCATCTGAATTCTATTTAAATTATAAGTTATTTAACCAAACTCATACTTCTGGCATAATATATCAAAACTTACCTTATTACGATCTGTCATAATATTAGCATTTAAAAATGCAATCACTGTTCCAACAGTTGTTTTCCAATGCTGCTTATGTACTTCACCAAAAAGGAAAAAATTTACAAATTTCTCACAATTTTTTAAGTCATTCATTTTCCAAATAGAGTATACATTTCCCTAAACATTAAAAATTGAATAAAGTTTGTAATATGTATTAATCAAGAGTTAAACAATATTCTAAAAATATAAAACATTTATAGATATGATATATTTTAATAAACAAAGAGAATTTTAACTGTTAATAGTGGATTGTGTGTAGGTCTGCAATTTTCAAACTGCAGACCTACACACAATCCACTATTGTCTGTCCATCCTTTGTTAATCTTCAGAATGGAGTTAATTAGATTAAAATTGAGACCAGATATGAAAAGCTTAAGAGCCAGAGGCCCAAACTAACTATATACAAACTTCTAGTCAGAACTGGAAATCATGTGATTTTTTTAAATTAAAAATTGCAGCTTGGCATTGTTACAATGCCAAGCTGNCAATGAGCACTTATTTATTGTGGCTGTTACAATGCCAAGCTGCAATTTTTAATTTAAAAAAATCACATGATTTATCCATTTGTTTTGTATAATATTTACAAAAATAAAATATAACATTAGAATCATATAAAAAATTACACTTACATGTTGTGGCGTTACCACGGTGAATTGTTAAAATATTAAAAAAGTTCACAAGCACTTTCGGTAACATACAGTTACCATCCTCAGGTGAAAATAAATACAACAGTTTTCTATTCTTGAAATAAATGGTGTGGCTAGATAGAACACCAATTTAAATAGAAATTTTCATGCAGTTCAAAAATGTTTAGAATTGGAACGGAATGATGTACAAATTCCCAAACAATGGTTGCTATGCGACCATATAGCTCTAGAAATCTAGATAGTGACGCTTAAATAATGTAGTCCAAATATTAAGAATTTCTAGAGTTGTGGTATTACATGGTGTTAGTGTCAAAATATAAAGGTTCTCCCAAATAAAGAGTTCTTTTTGATTATTGCATCCTTTCAATAGTTTTGTTTGGTCGATAGTCTTGATCAAGGACTTTTCTCGCTAATTCTGTTGATGGACAATTATTTTGGATGTCATCCTGATGTTCTGTGATGCGAGATGTTAGCGTTCTAGCAGTAGCTCCTATATAACAAGTATCTTCTCCTGATCGATTATGTTTTAACGGTACAAGATAAACTCCTGATTTTTCTTTTAGTTCAATAGCATCTCTGTTGTTAGATAGCAATCTTCTTAGTGTTGGCTGTGTAGATAGTGGTAGAATGTAGCCATTTTTTCTAAAAATGCGTACAATTTTTAATGATACGGGACCCAAAAATGGTATTGGGGGTGTGCTCTGTATGGTAACTGTACATTACCAAAAGTGCTTGTGAACTTTTTAACATTTTAACAATTCACCATGGTAATGCCAAAACGTGTAAGTGTAATTTTTTATATTTACAAAGTCAGTGTGAAGTGACTATTAAATCTTAACATTGGAATCAATAAAAGATATAGGGATGTAAGATGTAAATGTTCTAAAGGCATTAAATTTGTCAAAGCCAAAAAACATATGCAACAACAGATCTTGATCTTCTATTTATTGGAATTCTAGTAATTGTTCATACACAATAAATAAATGACAACTATTTGCTTAATAAAATTTACAAAATTTCCAAAAAAATAATACATTAAATAATGTTTGTACAAAATAGTCTCTATGTAGAGTCAATTGCAAAAATAAATCACCAGCTCAGGCTAATTGACATGAAAATTACATCACAGAATCAAATTTGACATACAGTAATGCATAACCTAGACTAGATCAACAGAACATCAACTTGGAAATATAGATTGAGTAACTTCATTAATTCTAATTTTGCTTGAACTAATTTACCTTAAATAAATACTATCATTTTGAAAATTGCCAATTTTATTACAGACAATGCTATATAAAAGTATAGAATCAATCAATTTAAATCTATTAAAAACAATTGGACCACGAAGATAAAAGATTTATTCTAATAAAAATGATCATATAAATCTATGTTCAAGTAAAGCATAATATAATAAANTGAAGCGCCATACAATATTGCAGTCGTTCTGCTTCTAAATGAAACTAAACGCCTATATTTTAAAATAATAAATTGTATTGGTATAAATTGGCTCGGTCTCAATTAGTTCAGACTAGTAGGACTATTGTATTGTTTCATGTCATTAGTGTAGTTTGCTTCAACTTATTTGTTTAATACAAAATCTGTTTACCATTGCTACCTTTACACAGTGTTCATTGGCAAATCAAAGAAAGAGTAATTTAAGAGATTACGTTAAAATGCAATCAAAATGACAAACCAAATTTGTTCGTAATAAACTAAAAACAACAAAGATCTATAATTACTTTTACTTTAGAAGAAAAATTTTCAAAAATTCTTTGTTTTGTTTATATATGTACAGTACTTTATATTTCTATTGTTCTTTTATACAAAAAAATAATAATAAATAACATATGTACAGTATACATATAATAAATAATATATATAATATATGAACAGTATAAATTTAATAATAAATACAGTATTGAGTCATTACATAGTTAACTTAAGCAATTTACAAATCCAACTTACATAAAATCCAAGTTATGTAAAGGTTTACAATCCACATTACTTACATAACTCAGGGTATTACTGCACTCATTAATTACATGTATTTATCAGTAATGCCAATAAACAGTTTTCATACTTTTTATATATTAACTCTTTTCCTTTTAAGATTAATATGTTAAAAATTACATTAATAAGTTAAAATTATAACATTTATGTCCCATCTATTCCATTTTATGTAAAAACCACATGCTAGGATTTATACAGCATGTTTGAAATAATTTAATGTACTTTTTTTTTATAAATTATAATTCAAATGGTATATGTTTAACCTGAAGATGACATTTTGAAATGTCAAAAGTACTTGTTTTTAATTAAATACTTTGCAAATAAACAACTTTAATGCCAATAAACAGTTTTGCTTTATTCATATTCTATATTTGGTATCATAAAAGACACATTTATGTAAAATTTTAATATTCTTATATTATTAATTGCACAGACTAATAATGTTTAATCTACTGATGATAAAAATAAATAAATTTATTTTATTTATTCAAATACAATTGAATAAAATTATAACTTGTAATTTATCTATATTATCAACTTTTATAAAATCAATGAAATGTTAAAATTACTTACTTTCTTAGAAGTATTGGGTGGCACTTTTTTTACTATAACACCAACAGTTACCCAATCACCTTCAATATCATTACCCCTCATATGTAATCTTATAGAAGACATTTTAACTAATTTGCGTCCTTCCATTCTACTTTTCATCACTGAAGAAGAAATTAAAGGATTTCTAAAATTGTAAAAAATTTAAATAAATATAATTGACTGTTTTAGATTGTATTTTAAATATAAAGCATTCATTCAAGGTTTCAACAATATGGAAATATTTTCTAATAATCAGTTATTTGATTTTAAGAAATAAAGAATTTATAATGAAGACCATGTTAAAATAAAATTAAAATTTTGATTAACTGGATTCTAATTTTTGAATGAAATAAAGAAACATTTTGCAAACACTGAGAGTAAGAAAGATAAATTCAGTTCTCAGAATAATTCAATTGTTCTGTTAAGATAGGCAAATGGAGAAAATGCCTTTTCTTCTTTCTATTTATTTGGAAGTGCTAATTACACAGCTTTCTTCTCCAACACTAAATATCTATTTGAATTAATATAATGCAACTACATACTGTACTTCTTCATCTGACATACAATACATATTATGCTTCCAGTTTGATTATTTTTGGGAATTTAGTATAAAGAATTATGATGATAAAGATAATCTACTGAAAGTTAAACTTAATCTGATTCTTCGTTGAATGTATACAGGCATGCCACCCAGAAATGGAAAGACAACTTTGATTCCCCACAGTGGGGGCAAAAAAGGATCAGCATAAGTGAGAAAAAATGCAGAAATTTATTTCATCCCATTGTACCTGTGTATAATCATGCTGTTAGCACCTCAAAAACCTGAGAAAGATGCAGTTATAGAGCAAGAAATGGAATGAGTGCACAGTCAAGGTCTGTCTCAGGTTCCCCTGCTGTGTTGAATTCAAGATATTTTTAACAATACAACATTTTTAGAACTGCTAAATAGCCTGAAAAAAAAGGTCAACGTCATCAAAATTTTTAGCTTGTTCCTATTTTTTCAATGTATTTTGTGGTTTGTTTTATTTGAATTTAATTTCAATACACTTCAAGTTGAATGTTTAAAATAATTAATATTCAACATAACTTTTTATATTCAAATACCATATATTTTATAAAACAAAAAAATTCTAATTTAATTTAATAATTAATTTTCTATAAAATATTTAGTCTTTAATTGACCAAATAATATTAGTGACAATATCAATCAGCAACAATATTGATAATCAGTACACTCTTAGCAATATTAAAGCATATTATTCAATATTTAAATTTCAATTCTTTCATATAATATTTATATAAATTATTTGTGTATATCCTATTTATTTTCCTAGTAAAATTAATATTAATATAATTTTATAATCAAAATAATCACATGACAGATTTTAATGGCATAACTAATAAATATAATAGGTCTTCCAAAAAGAATGCTGCCATTTTAAACGACTAATTATATTAATTATTATCTGAAAAATATTCAATGTATACCAACCAATAGAGTAACTGTCCAACTTTCTGACTCCCATATGCATTCAAATGTCTTGTTTTTTACTACCTCTAGGAAGTGCCATAAATGAAAATAGTGACTTCACAACAGAGATGTTTTGTATGTATCAACATCCCGAAGCCCGATGTATTGATACTAAGCCAAACAATTGCTGTAATTAATCAGGTTATTATGCTTTAATTAATAATAACCTGACAAATTACAGCAATCACTTGGTTTAGAGATGCAGTTTGTAAAGTTAGAATTACTCATCATTGTGAAACATGAGTAATCTGCAACTCCTACAAAGTTTAAAAATTACAGAACACAAAATATCTCTACGATGGAGTCACCATTTTCATATGTCACTTTCTATAGGCAGTAGACAACCATATGTTTGAATGCAGATTGAACAGTTATTCTATCGATTAGTGTAGATACTACATACATCTCAGATAATAATTAACATAATTACAGTAATTTAAAATGGTAGCATTCTTTTTGGAAGATCCTGTATTTAGGTAGCTGGTAATGTTTGAATCAAATTTCTTTATGATTAAAAAAAAATAACTGAAAAACCTTCAAACTGTTTTTGAGTTTTTTAACTATGTCTATCCAGTTTGTTTCTTCCCTCCTATATTACACATCATTAACTATGTTAAAACAAAATAAAATTCAATATTTGTAATCAATAAGTATTTTTTAAACTTACATTATTCGTAAATTAGAATAAATCTCAAATTCTGGTTTTGAAGATGTCTCTTTTTCTGCATTTAAGCATGTAGACTCTTTACTTTTTATGCTATTTGTCCCTGAAAGCAATTATAATACTGTAGTTAACATTAAAAACTTGGTATTACAAAAATTTTTCAACAAGTTCTATTGCTGATAATGAACTAAAAAAACTAAAATACTCAAGTTTTCTGGGTTTACTTTACAGTTAAATAGTTAACTCAATATTATTTACCTTATCCTCCAACTAATATAACAAATAAATATATTTTTTCATACTTACAAGTACTTTTACATTGAAATTTTGACGTTATTAATGATCTGGAACTCTGATTTAAATTTCTCTTTATTTCCCGCCCCAATTCTGATAACGATGAATTTCCAAAAGCATTCATCTCATCATCTGATGAATCAATTTCTCCTGAATGAATTTCACTTTTTGCTTTATCATCAGTAACTTTATTAGCTAGAACTGATTTGGACTGAGATATAAAAATATCTATACCAATATCTTTCATTTTATTTCCTTTGGTCAATTCTGTTATTTGTCTTTTATCTTCAGGCAATTCATTTACTGTTTTTTCTACATTTTCTTGCGAAGTTTTTTTCTGTAATTGTTTTTGAAGTTCGTCCATTCTTTTCTTTACAAGCTCTAATTCATTTTTTATTTCTTGTTCTGATTTTTCTTCATTATGTTTCATTTCTTTATTATCAGGAATCAAATTATCTTTCTTATCTTCCCAGCTATCTTCATCTGTCTCTAATAATTGTGTAACAATATCCAGGTCTAATTCTGCAAATAAAAATAATTATAGATACATTTTTTTTCATCCATACACAAAATATAAAAAAATAACTTAGAAAATCTTTCTATAAAAATTTTCTACTGAAAAAATTTACACTATGAAATATAAATTTACTGATTTATTAGATAATCAAATAAAAATAGAACTTGCAAGAAGTAGAGCATGGAATTTTGCAATGCTAGAATCAGATTAGGCATTGCAATGATCTGGCCATGCCTGTTGCATACTGGCTCACAGTGTCATAAAGACTAGCTTACAGCATCAACAAACTCTATGCTTTACTTCTCACAAATTATCCTTTCATTTGATCATCTATTATTAATAAATATATTGAGGGCAATTTTAATTTTTCTGATACAACAGGAATCCTTAACTGAAGAGAAATTCAACTGTCTCTAAAGAAATAAATCTTGGGATAAATTTGAATTAATTAATCCCAAAATTTTTTAATCAACTTCAGAATTACTTGCTTTATTATGACATGAAAAATTATCAGTAAACAATCTGAGTAGAATTGTAGTTCATGAATAAATATTTTTATTATGATATTATCTAAAACAGGATGTATGTATGTTTGTTCACTATACACGCCTAGGCTGTTTGACCAATTACTACAAAACTCGACAGTTAAGTTCAAATACTTCTAACTTAAATCATGCTGTACATCCCACACCAAATTATCAATTAGATTTCTCTATATTGATTAATTCTGTCTACATTTGATTGCTGACTTTACATGTAGTGCCATCTATTAAAAAAAAATTTAACAAAATAATTAACTAAATATAATTCTTACAAATAAAAGATATAATTTTAAAAACTAAGTACTATATTATATTCTTTGAATTACTGCAACAATGATTATAGTGCAAAGTAGACATGCTATTACATGCCATTACTGTGACAGGTAGCACATAGCACTTGCCTGTTTGGAGTGTAGTAGTGTTTTGCCCCTGTACATCATACTTTTCCTGTTAGAAATAGAGTCATGCCAGTTATGTATTAACGCCATTCAAGGAAAAATTTTTGTATTGAAATAATGTGGTACAAATCAGAAGTTCATATATAATTAATCTGGTCCTCTTTCTCTTACAATTTCCATGTCTGGTCTTCATCTATCTAACTCCGTTCTCAAGATTAAGGAATGAAAAGACAGACAGACAACAGTGGGAATTCATAGGTCTACAATTTTTTCAAACTGCAGCCCAATAAGTACCCGCCAGTAACCGAGTGGATAAAACCACCAAACACCAGTAGTTGGTCGTGGGTTTGCGCATGGTCAACATACTGGCCAGATAGAGTTTTCTGGGTTTTCTTCGTGTTAGTAATATCTAAATAGAAGTCAGCTTTACATAAAAGTCTTTCTGGGATGCATCCTCCTTGGCAGATTGCTCATGAATCAAATACTATAATATAATATAATAGAGGGGTTATAAGTACAAAATATAGGAGCCAATATAGGGGTGGACAAGATGGGCAGTTGCCCAGGGAGGCAGATTGACCAAAACTGACCGAAGAAAATAAAAATAACAAAAAGCATTCTTAATTTCAGATAATCCATTATTTTAATTTTACAAAATAATTAAGTAATTAAATACAAGAGGTTCGAGCCTTCATTTAATATTTTATAAAATAATATTAGCCTAATATTCTATTTTTCTTTGTTTGAAAAAGGGTGCAGAAAATGAAACAATAAACATGTTTGTGAGTCAAAAATGGGAGAGGGATTTACACCTTTAGGAGAGAATTTTGACCTTCCCTTAAGGTGTAAATTGAACAAAGTGTTTTATGCTTTACACTATGCCTGTACTTAAAAGGAATGCCTAGGTTGCCTGGGCAGCATAATTGCTAGGTTATATCCTGATGAAATAATCTAATAATCTTAATGTTTGTATTTGGCGTGTTTTTTAAGTAAGTACCGTTTTAAATAGGACTGCTGCAGTGCTACGGTTCGTGTTCTGCGAATGTGCGCTGAGTACTTACATCTGTTGGCTAGCCACAGACGCAATTATGGAAGCATTCATTCATTTTACGTTTGTTTGTGCGTGTTTAAAATGTCTCAGACAATTGAAAATCCTGCCAATTGTGAAATATGCGCAGTGATTTGTTTTTTTAATGCAAAAGACGTGAAAGCGGCTGACATTCATCAGCAGATTAGTCAGATGTATGGAAAAAAGATTATGAGCGATGGAATGGTCAGAAAATGGGTTAGAGCATTTAAAGATAGCCATACTAATGTCCATGATGAGGAGCGTAGTGGGCGACCATCTGTCATTACTAAAGACTTGCCGCAGAAAGTTGTTGCAAAAGTTTGAGAAAACAGACACTTTATGATTTTGTCATCCAAAACAAAAAGCGTGGCAAGCTCAGTAAGGGAATTGTTTTCCTTATCACATCTTATGGCTAGGAACAATTTCATCACCCTATGTATAGCCCTGATCTAGTGACTACCACTTGTTCCTCCACTTGAAAAGGCATCTAGCAGTCAGCGCTACGACGATGTCAAAACGCCGTGCGGCAGTGGTCAGCAAATCAGGCGGCAGGTTTCTATGAAGATGGAATTCAGAAGATGGTTCTACGATATGAAAAGTGCCTTCATATTGGAGGAAATTATGTTGAAAAGTAGATTAATGTACAGGCTTCCATATAAGAATAAAATTATTTTAAAAATTGCAGTTGTGTTTTTTTTAATATCAAAACGGTACTTACTTAAAAAACATGCCTCACTTATTTTTTGCCCAGGCAATGCTAGGCTTACCTGTTAGTTAGATATATATACAGTGACCATATTTTTTGGGGGCAAATAAAGGACATATCGAAGAAAATCAAAAAATACCTTATAAAATTCATAAGTTTATAACATTTATTACGAAAATAGTGGCATACAACAATGCATACATTAAAATTTTAAACAATCTGAATTATTACACATACACACATTGTAAAAATTTAAATAACATTAATTTTGATACTTTTCAGTAGAATTAATTTTTTTTATAGCGCCGTTTCACGCTTTAAAGTCATAAAATTCCATACAGTTCATTTGAAAGTTGTATTTGATGGAAATACATGCTTCTAATGTGCTTACTTTTAAATCAGTTTTTTCATTCGTCCACATATTATTCAGCAATGAAAATATTCGTTCAACGGGGGCATTAGATCCAGGGAGACAAAGAAAATTCTACGATTTTACAAATGTTTTTGAAAACNGAAAAGTCTAACGAAATAGGAATAACGATGACGTCATTCTCGTTTAACTCGTTCGACTTTACAAACATACCTAATGTTAACTTTACATTCCAAAGATAAAGTTTTTCTTTTCTTGTTTGATGCAGAAGAATTAGTTCTACTTCATTTGGATGACATAGTAGAGTCTCTCGAGTCTCCGTAGATATAACAAACACAGAAATAAATAACACAAAATAAATTGTAGCTATGTGTCGATTCTGTGCGACACATCTGAACATGTAAGCTGAACAATAGTGTGGGGGGGGAGTGAGTAATCAAGGGTTGAGTGGTGCTCAAACAAAAGACGAATCGACGAGATTTGAAAATCGCGTAACTCCGGGTTCGCGTGAGTGGGGGTAGCGTAAGTCGAGGTATTACTGTATATACATTAGAAAATATTTTGTATTCCCAATGAGTTTCTGACTATTAAAGAAGGAAGTTTTAATTTTATCATCCTAAATTATAAAATAAAATTAAATAAGTAACTTTTAATTAACAAAACATTGAAATGGTAACAGGGAATAAGCATGATATCTATTTCATTTTTGCAATGTTTCAGGAAAAGCTATAGAAGTCAGAAGCAATTTTTGATTAAACTGGAGTTGGTAAAATCATACTAACTCCAAGATCAGCATAAAATCTTTAATAAAATGCTATTTTAACATTTTCACTATCTTGTAAGCTATTGGCAGTCTCATACATAGATTCAATGACATATTAAGCAACATGCTACAGATGTAAATGGATGGATGTATGAATGTTATGCATGTTAATGCTTTGTAAATTTGCATCCAATATTTTAAAAATACACACTATACAAATCAGCTGATTTCTGTGAGAATGCTAGTATGTCATACAGTATGCAATGAAAAATAATTCAAATTCATTATTTCTGTACCATGAGAACCACTAGCAACCTCAGTAAAAATTGGCCATCAAAGGCTTTAGCAGCAATAAAAATCCTCCAGGTACAAATTTCACTAATCAGGTGGCATCAGATACAAAACAATTATCTTGGTGCGCACAGAGAAGTAATGATGAAACAGGGTTTAAAACATATATTTTTATAATTGTAATCTTGATCATTTTATGAATTTTATTTCAAATTATTTTCAAAATTGGTTTAAGTATAAACTATCAGAATGGCAAATATCCCAACTAGATCATCAATATTTGAAGCATGCAATGACATAATGTTGTAAATGCTTTTTGCCAAAATACAAACTTTTCAGGGGAGGTAAAAACCACTTTTTCTAGTGAATACATTTTTTTCAATTTTAAAATAAAATGATCAAAAACTCACTAAGTTACAAATTCTCTGGGATATCAAAATGATGTAAATATAAATATAAGCTGTAACTTTTTACACACCAAAAGTCATGTGACTTGACTTGCACTCTGGCACTTTAAATGTTATGACTTCACATAAATTCAACTTCAAAATAGAGCCTCTTACAGTGAAAATATCACCACAATGTTTTTGCATTGCATTTAGAATTCAATTCTTCAATAAAACATACTTAGAGAAAAATGGCTTTTACGATGTTATGACATTGCATGCTTCATCTGAACTGAGGCTGGAGTTGGAGGTTGATTTCTTTATATGATATGACAATGTGATATGTGAATAATCTAATGAAAGATGATGTTTCCCAGGAGGACTTTTCTATGAGAAACTGGTCCCTATTCAGGTGTTACAAATGTGAGAAAACCTAAAAACTCCATATAGCTAGTCCAGTGGTGAGGTGCAAATCTACAA